AATATTCATTCAGGATTAAATTTTATTTAAGTTGGTGCAGAGAAAAGCAATACACATACACATATATGTATATTATACATACTGTTTTCAAAGATATTCTTTGTATTGCTTCACAATTATTATTTGTATACTTGTTGCTAATAAAATAACAGATATTTTAATGTAGCGCATTTGTCGTATAATTTATTAATCTCGTTTTTTTATAAAAAATATTTTATGATTGAAAATTGTTACTATAATTTACCTAAAAAGTACTAAATGCACCTACTTTAGCCTAAACTGTTAATGTATCCATATGTATTAACTGGATTTTATACCAGTCAAATTAATAACATGATGTAAGATCCAATATATATTTTGTCAAAAAATAGAAGAATATTGTTTCGTAATTTCTTTAAAATCTCGTTCAAAATTTTGCGCCACTTAAAATACTTAATTTTAAAATAATAAGTTATACAAAAATGATTCCAATAATTTATAAAATATAAAGATATATGTTTATCAATGCATACAGAAAAATATCAATCTACTGCTAAGAAACGTATAACTCAATTTATTTTCTTTCTCTTAAATAACGGTTACTTTTAACAAAGAATATTTTTTTGATAATAATCTTAAAATATTCTTATTACAAAATTTTAGAAAAACTCATTATTATGTACTCAAAATAAGAATTTTTTTATTTGAAGTATATTATAAAATTAATCGAAGAAACGAATTTTTTGTATTTCGCGCATCATACAAAAGCGTAAAATCTTACGCTTATTGCCGACGATATTAGTCAGCAAAAAGGAATATTCCTTCTTGTCAATTTCTGGCATATTAAGCAAGAATGTTGACCAGAAGAAACATGAGAATCTGAACATAGTAGGTTGATGTGTAACATCAATCTAAGTTTTCTGTAAGATACATAAAGATAAACTCTGAATATTCGGGAGGGTAACTCGCTCGCAAATTGCTATTTCTTATATTGTTTATTTAAAATATAAAATTATCCAAGAAATAACAGGGCTAGTGAAAGCCAGTGCTGATAATCAAGTGCAAGTTTTGTAGATTTTTTTAATCTACAAAATTTGCGTGTGATTATCCGCGCTGACTCTTATTAGCTCTGTTATTTATTAATTTTTTTCGTATTTTAAAAATTAAAAGAACTTGTTTCAATTATATTATTGCTTATTGCTTATTTATTATTAGTATGATCGCGATTAAGTTATCTCATTGAGTTTATTAGTACACAATAGA